CAGTGTTCCTTTTTCACAAATCCACTAGATATGAATAAAAGAAAAAAATCCACAGGACTGAGGCTATAAGTGAAGAAAATGAACTGAGTCAATATCACATTTTCAGATTTCAAGCATTATTTATTCGTTTGTTTTTGGGGTTTCCAGGCATCATATTCACTGCTCCTGCACAAAATAAAGATATTATTATTTTATGCTTTTTATGTGCTTTCCTTCTTTATTAACAACATTGCCATGTTTTCTTGTAAAAATGCCTTGTTCAGCTATTTCAAAGCAAGCTCTAGGGGCAGAGAAATATCATTTTCAGTTGCATGTTTGCTCTAATCATATTAAGTTGTGAAGAAAGGATAAAGGTCTTGTATTATATGAATCCATCCATCCATTTTCCGTCACGCTTACCCCAAGCGTGGTCTTCCCCTGTCTACAGATGAGAGGCGGGGTACACCCTGAACAGGTCGCTAGTCCATTGCAGGGCAACAAACACATGACAAATTCATGCACACACTCAGACCTAAGGAGAATTTAGAGAAACCAATTAACCTAACAGTCATGTTTTTGAACTGTGGGATGAAGGCGGAGTACCCGGAGAGAACTCAGCATCCTCAGGGAGAACATGCAAACTCAATGCAGAAACACCCGGGGCCTGGAATCTAACCCGGAACCTTCTTGCTGCAAAGCAGCTGTGCTACCCACTGCACCACTAAGCAGCCCATTATATGAATCATTTGTTGAAATAACGCTAACCGATGCTGTGTAATTCAGCTGGTAAGGGTTAAACATAATAGCCCATAACTTGACCTTCAACCAGATTTAACTTGATTTAGTTCTACATACTCTTTTACAGTATCTTCCTTAAATCAGTTTTTAATCATCCATCCATCCATCCATCCATTATCTGACACGCTTGTCCCGGGTGGGGTCGCGAGGGGTGCTGGTGCCTATCTCCAGCAGTCAATGGGCGAGAGGCGGGGTACACCCTGGACATGATGCCAGTCCATCGCAGGGCAACACAGAGACACACAGGACAAACAACCATTCACGCACACAATCCCACCTAAGGAGAATTTAGAGAAGTCAATTAATCTAACAGTCATGTTTTTGAACTGTGGGATGAAGGCGGAGTACCCGGAGAGAACTCAGCATCCTCAGGGAGAACATGCAAACTCAATGCAGAAACACCATGGGCCTGGAATCTAACCCGGAACCTTCTTGCTGCAAAGCAGCTGTGCTACCCATTGCACCACTAAGCAGCCCATTATATGAATCATTTGTTGAAATAACGCTAACCGATGCTGTGTAATTCAGCTGGTAAGGGTTAAACATAATAGCCCATAACTTGACCTTCAACCAGATTTAACTTGATTTAGTTCTACATACTCTTTTACATTATCTTCCTTAAATCAGTTTTTAATCAGTAGAAATAAATAATGTGATGGGAAAAGAGGTAGGAAAAACCTTAAAAATCGGATTCAGATTATTTTGGTTTTCAGAAGAGTGTAATGAATCATTAATTTGAGATGTTGCTGCTTGACCAAGTGGAGGAAATGTGCTGAAAACATGATTATGGACTCCTGGGGAGGCAGAGATTGCTGGCTGAAAGAAAATCAAGCATGGTAGTGTGGAAAGAATTCTAAAGTGTAAATTTTTAAAGCTTAAACTGCCTAAGGCAAATATATTTCTTCCAAAATTCAGGTGGACTACCACTTAAACAGAACTTTACATACAAAGCCATAAAAGTATGGAAATATAATAGATGAAGCATCCTGTACTGTAACAGTTTCAGTTTGGAGAACTTGGCATGACAGGACATTTTTTCTGCGGGACAGAAATAAAGCAGTGCAGCAGTCTTGGGTCAAAGATGTCAGACAGTGTCAAGACCCAGCCTTCTGCTTGGAGAGGCTAAAGTTGAAAGAGTAGCATTACATCTATCACGTCATGACAGCATAACTTAACTTTTACTGCACAAAGCTGCAGACCGTCACTCATTCTGCAAAGTGATTGCTTTATCTCCCTGTCTGTCCCCTTTGTCAGTCATGATTAAGGTTTATATAAATCAATCTGCGTGGGCGTGTGCCTGAAGAGATTCTCATTTAGCTGTGGTGCACCATTTAGACATGCATTGCTGCCACATAGAGATTGAAATTAGCAGGGTTAGAGCTAAGGAACCATGGGGATGGGTAAGACTGATTAGCTTTCTTTAATCAACCTAAAAATACATACTGTACAGCTAGTTCCCATTATATTTTAGCATTAATTCAAGCATTTTTGAAATATTATTAAAAAAATATATATGTCACTCATCTTTCTTTTAATTTTTCCGTTTAAAAAAAACTTCCTATTGGTAATCTTTCTGACCAGGATGTCCTGGCCAAGATTAAAAACAGCTAGATGTGCAATGTGCAAACAGTACATCACATTTCCAAACACCAACAATATTTCTAGATCTTTCACAAAAACTACAACAGTAAAGTAGAGAAAGTAAAACACTGAAATGTTAATATTTCTGTCACCTCTGTCTGAAACCTCTTGCTGCATGCAGCAATGAACCTGCAAATTTATATCCACCATGACCAACATGCATTTATGGATTGCTGTGGAAGGTATTGGATTTCCCACATTTCCATTAGATAAAAGTGTTCTCTCATGTTTAAGAAACAAACCATTCTTCTTTACAATTGTTTTAGTGAATTAGAAAAACTTGAAAAAAATATAAAAATCCTTGGAAGAAAACACGTGTACATCAAAATGTAGCATTTAATATTTACATAAGATGCAACTTGTGCTATAGTCATGTAGGATATGAAATGATAGTTTAATTCTTAGCACTGTGTATCTTTTTGTATGACTGAGAAGAAGTGTCTGACTACAGTGGAATAATTACTGATCCGAACAAACTGTTTCTGTGCCCGTTTGTTTTGGATTTAATGGTCCTGCATTGTTTTCCTAATCAAAGTGGGACAAACTATGCATTGCTGCAGTAGGTGGGATCTACAGCAAAGACTTTAGCTCTTTTCTGGAAAGCCTTAAATTAAGTCTAAATCTGTAGACGGCATCCCCTGTGCTGTCCTCACCATCTTAACTAAGTCCCTCCTCTGTCATGCTATGATTCATTACTCAATAAAGTTTTGTGAGCATCTGATTAGAGTCCTGTCCTTTTGAAATTTCAAAGAAAGAAGAGCCTTTTTTATTTGACCTTCCTCACCAGACAGGAAATGTATTCTGTCTAGGAGAGGTAAGACGAACTGTGGATGCCTAGGAACTTTATGCATTCCACACACTAAAAAAATAAACCCCTACCGATGCTGCCGCTGTTATCTTTAATGGTATGGTGTTTTTCTGGTTAGGTTTAGTGTTGTTTTTGCCTAAATTATAGCCATGTTATTAATTTAGCATATAGCCAACTTAGCTAATCTATGTCCATGGCATTCTGAGGAGCAGAGTTCATTCACCTGTCCAAAGAAGCACTACAGGTAGACCTATTCCTCCCCTTCATGTCTACCCACTTGTAAACATGTGGTGTTTCTGTGTTACAAATGATTGAAAGATGAAGGCAAAACATACATAAACATACATTTTAGGCAGTAAAGTGCAAACCTGGAGAAATGTGCTGCCCTGTTGGTGTAACATAATAGTAGTAGGGGGAGTGGCGGCCTAGCGGTAAGGGGATTGCGCCTGGATCTGAGAGGTTCTGAGTACAAGCCCCGCTCCCACAGACTGCCACTCTGGGTCCCTGAGCAGAGACCCTTAACCCCACACTGCTCCCCAGGTGCCGCACCATGGCAGCCCACTGCTCCCCAAAGGGATGGGTTAAATGCAGAGAGTTCATTTTGTTCTTTTTACTTGTGACAATGTAATGACAATAAAGTTGAATTCTATTCTATTCTTGATATAGTAACATGTTGCTGCTGTTGTCTGACAGATCAGTCCAAGAATTGAAGATTGGGTGTTTTTTTTATTCTCTGTTCCTTGGATCAGATAATGGATGGATGGATGGATGGATGGATGGATGGATGGATGGATGGATGGATGCTTGTGACATACAGTAAACCTTAAAGGAAAAGTCCGGTCAACACGGAATGATCAATGGCTCATTATCTTTAACTAAAACGAATAAGTCTGTAGTGATTCAATGAATTTAGCATTAATGGGTAAAAAAATAAAAATAATATTTTTGTCTCGATCACTGAGTCCGGGACCGGGCATTCTCCCCGCTTTACTAGCAAAATCAATGGGAACTATGAGACACATCTGCAGTCAACAACAATTATTTAAGATTGTGAGAAGACTTCATGTAATATGTAATATGTAGCCAACATTTTGAAGAAGAATTTTAAAATATGACTTGTATAATAGCACATTGTGACAAACACCAGATAGAGCACTGGGACTTGCTCAACAGCCGATGCCGCACCTTGACGTCAAAAACTGGTTGGTGGTGGTAGCTTTGACAAACATGGATGTCTCTGGTAAAGCACATTCAAATGAATTTTTTAAACAGTATGTCAGCATTTCAGATTTGAAATACTTTCACAAGTTTGAATTCTGAATATGACCGGACTTCTCCTTAACCGAAAAAAAAAGTCACCGAAAAAATCAGAATACGAACACCAGTGCATTTCTGCACAAGTGATCTCTTAATCATCAACAGGAGATTTGACAATTTCCAAACTACCCTATTTTGTTGTTTTGGTTCTATCTGTCTGTTTTGTGTGTTTTGTGTCTGTGAATGTGTGAATGTGTGTGTGAGTGGGCTGTGAGTGGCACAGATTGAATAAATAAAAAATGCAGTATTCCCAGTTCTATATTTGACATACATTTCAAATGACAGCGTGGACAACTAGTCAATCAAAGTTTTTTTATTTAGGACACATTTTTCCATGCTTTGGCTGTCTCAACAAACAGACATCAGCTCTAAATTAATTACCTCCTCCTTGTTTGTCAGAAGAACGCTTTTAAAGCTTGTCTCCTCCTCTGTCTCCTTTCTTTGTTTTTTGCTACAGCTTTGATATCAGCAGGCTGCTGCACCAACAACTGCAGAAATGTCAAGCTATGGGACAGGTAAACCTCTCTTCAGATTTTTATGCCTTTTCTCTATAAACCTGATTTGTGTTAATTAGAGACTCAGAGTGAAGACAGACAATTAAAGGCAGTGTCAGTTTTCTTAACACAAGGGTCCAGAATCCTGTATTTAGCTTCCATAACTCTACTTTAACATCCATTGTGCACCTATTAACTGCTGTCTTGAACACATGTGTGTTTTGTTAGGTTGGATGGATTTACATTAGCAGGATTTACATGATGAAATAAAAAAGCAAAAGTGTTGGTGAGTGAGGCATTGCATATTAATTTTTATACGAATCAGTGAGAAATAAACAAACATACAGTCAGGTCCTGATTGAATACATTGTGATTGTGAGCAGGTTCTCACTCCATATGTCTCTGTGCTCAGGTGGAATCAGTGGTTTTATATTGTGACTATAGTGTTAGAGGTGACCCTATCCTGTGTATATGTGTCATTGTGCTATCTTCAGTCAGGTTTGTGTGAGGCAGAAATGGCTCTATTAATATTTGATCACAGCAAGACATGGCTTACCTGCCTATAGTCAGCAGGGGGGAGTCCTTGCTGCTCTTGTTGTAAACAGAACAACAAACCAACAAAGTGTGAGAGTTAGCCTCCCTTTCCTCTTCTGTCCCACAACAATACAAGGAGAAGAGAATAATCAAGTAATCTTTGTAGATGATTTTTTAGGTTCAGAGAAAAGTAAGAAGGGTGTGTAGATCGATGTCTTACTTTGATCATCCCTCGGTTTTTTGTTGCAGCAAATGCAGACAGATACAAAATGTTCTATCAGTAACTATGAAAATCTATAAAGCTGGGAATCTTTTATTTTATTTTCCTCTTTTTTTTTTTTTACCAACACCAACCATCACTACTTTTAATACAATTTTTAAAATGTATAAAAAGTCTGCAAGTAGTGCTGAACATAGGCACCGTACCCAAAAACTACAGTTGGTCTGGTCCAGATGTGGCCCACATCTGGGATATTTAATAGGTCATAACTGATGAGAGTGATGGTGGCTGCGAAGGGACGACTGGCTGAGGTAAGACAGTGACAAACATGGGCAGCTCTCAGAACACTTCAGCTGTGAGCTGCATTGATCTTTCTCAAAGTTTAGAGACACTGGAGCAATGAGCCTGAAATGAAATTTCTTCCCATCTATATGGATCTTTTGGAAGCAAACAAGTAGAGGGCTGATCTCCATTCTGACCTTTCTATGGTTTATGGATTTCAAGCAAGAGCGCTGACCACAAAATATCCATTTGCACAATTTTATCAATCCTGTGTGAAGGTACTTTTAACTTTTATGACTTGCAATGGACGGCTGTTCAGTGGAGCAGTGGGTAGCACAAAGAAGGTTACAGGCCTGGGGTCTTTCTGCATGGAGTTTGCATGTTCTCCGTGAGCATGTGTGGGTTCTCTCCGGGTACTCTGCCTTCCTCCCACAATCCGAAAACATGACTGTTAGGTCCATTTTCTCTCAAATCCCCTTAGGTGTGAGTGTGCATGAATGGTTGTTAGTCCTGTTTGTCCCTGTGCTGCCCTGCGATGGACTGGCGACCTGCCCAGGGTGTACCCCGCCTCTCGCCCGTAGACAGCTGGAGATAGGCACCAGCACCCCTCGCTACCCCCGCTTTGGATAAGCGTGACGGAGAATGGATGTTTCAATGAAACTCTACTGCACAACTCTGTCAAAACGCACCAGATGTGGTGGATTGATCTATATGCTAAAGGAGAATATTGTGATAAGTTATTGGGTTAAATAGAGGACAGAGAGCCTGCTGAGTCTAGTTTCATTGATTACATATTTTGACAGTCTATGAAGCGTGCACATATAGACAAACTACTGAGGAAGAGAGCTGTTCAAGAAGGCTGCGGGTATTGTATTTTGCCCTTTTTTGCCTGTTCTAGCATTAATGATAGCTTAATTTTGATTAAATAGCTCAGTTTCTTGCTGTGATAGCTTTTGTATATTAACAAGTTATATGTCGTTGGTGATTACACTCTATTAGTGAATCAGGGTGGAATAACGTATTATTAATACTGCATTTTAACTCACTCATTGAGCATTAATGAGAAAATACACAATCCACCCCACAACTAATGACTTAGAAGCATCGATCAAATTAATAACTGCATTGTTCAGTGGTTCCATGTGTGATTTAAAGAGAAATTGTTGTCTTTCATTATCCTAAATCCAACATGACATTTTCCAGTAAAAAGAATAATTTAGATCTTTTGTTTTGTGTATTATGTCCGTTATATTTAGGCCTGTGAACTTACGTATGGACTTCACTAAGTTCTTAGGGTCTATTCACAATGGGGGGGTACATAATGGCAATAATAACTAAATATTAATATTAAATATAATTTATAAACCACTGTACATAAATATCTCCACCAACTCCTCACATATGTAGCTTGATCCAAAGTACTGTACAGCAAAGAAGACCCATGAAAATGTAGTAAAACAAACATTACGTCTGATTGTGACCAATATTAGGGCGTAATGGAGAAAACTAACTAATTATGGTTACTATTTACTTATTTAGTTAGCAGCACAATTATGCTCAATCAAGATAACTTATTATGAGCCAAAAAGTAACTATGCAGTCACTTTTTCTAATCTAAAATGTCAAAGAATTTGGATAATTGTCTTGTTATTGCAAATTTCATTAAAACTAGAGGTTCAGTTATAGAATTTAAGGTGTTTTTTATTAATTAGATTAAAATCACTACACGTCTGCACTATTTTGGTGTGTGGTTTGGTAAGTAAATTATAATAGACTTATGTAGATGTGATTTATGTTTCTTTTAGAATGAGAAAAAACAATGAGAGGTTTTAGAACTTTACATTTTTTTACTTTACAGCCTTTAACTAGCTATAAAATAGTTACGAAGCTGAAAAGTAATGCCTTTAAAGAAATGTAACAAAATTAAAATATACTTTGTGAAATAATTAAACAGGGTTAAATTATTCCAGAAATAAAACAGCAGGACTGAGTGATCCCAGTATTTTTGCGTCAAACATGTAAAATCAGCATTGCAGGAACAATTTTGAGCGCCAAACTTCTAGGCAGGAAAAAAAAAAGACGACCCAGGTTAATCACCTTCAAACGCTTGTCTCTGATCGGTATACAGGGAACACCTGCACCGGGTCAACCCGCTTCCGTGATGCCCTTGAGCGCAACATACTTATGTCACAACATTACGACAGTTGCATCTAATCTAACAATCTAAAACAACTATGCTTACATGCGATAAACATGAAACTACCGTGGTTATATGGATTTGGATGGACAAAAGACAGAAACAATAAAGCACACATACTACGCCCTGACTCCCTCCTATATTGCTCTCCATTGCTTGATTTCTGGTGATGTCATCAAAGCTAATGCATGATGGCATCACCAGACATAAAGCGATGATTTACAAAGGCCATGCAGCTTGCCAGCAGGGGGTCATACACAGCTGTTTTTGCCAAATATGAAAAGAGTCTAATGTTGTTAGTTAGGGTGCCCAGATGTCCGGCTTTAGGCTCGACAATCAAGATTTTCATTGCACTGTCCGGCGTCTGCCGCAGCATCCAGCCGGACACCTATTTGTCCTCCTTTATGAAGCAAGAGGGTTAAAGAATAGATTTTGTTTTACAGTTTTGCTGGGCTGCAGCACAATATCCAATCATAGATTGTAAAAAATACATCAACTATCTGGTTTCACAGATGATGCCCTGTTCCACCCGATTTATCTCTTAAATGATAACAGCCGTCTTATTGGTTAAATGTTATCAGTTGTCTTATTGGTTGCTTTTCAGTTTACATTTTTACTAAATTAATTCAGAAATAGTCTCAGTAAAAAAAAAAAAAAAAAAAAAACTACTTTCCTTTTCTTCTTCTCTTTTCTGGCACAGCTTTGATGCCTCCTCTTGACAACTTGACCAACCATGCATCTCCAAAGAAAGAGGGGTGGTAGTGAGGGAGCCCTCCCCTGACTCTGGGCCTGACAGATTTCAGGGCCTGACTGTTCCATCCGATTTATCTCTTAAACGATAACAGCTGTTGTGTTATTTACATTGTTGATGGAAGTATTTTAGGAAAGCTTAGATTTGGACATGATGTGAGCAAACATCAGCAGAACCCCTTGGGGCTTGAAGGGCTGGTAAAGTCCAATGGTACAACTAAATGTGATCTCAGAGGGAAGAGGTCTAACTACAACTTGATATTCACAAGTATATCACTTTGTTTTGTTCAGTCACGTGAATTACCAATAAAATAATTGAGGTTTGTGTTTCTAGTATGAAAAACGTAGCTATTCAAGGTACCCTGCCTCTGTAAGGTTTCATTGGTTGCTTTTAAGTTTACATGTTTACTAAATTAATTCAGAAATAGTTTAAAATAAACAACTTTCCCTTTCTTCTTCTCTTTTCTTGCACAGCTTTGATGCCTCCTCTTGACAACTTGACCAACCATGCCTCTCCAAAGAAAGAGGGGTGGTAGTGAGGGAACCCTCCCACGACTCTGGACCTGACAGATTTCAGGGCCTCTGGAAGCCACCCTCCATGGCTCCGGACCGTCTGTAGTCCAAGAACTCTTCCATGTGCACAGCCCTTAAAACAGCCTGCCTCCATGTTTTGATTTCTACATATCAAGAGTTTGAGCGGATGTGGAATGGGGTTTTATATTTTAGTTGTTTTTGAAGAGAATGGTAATAACGATTTGGAAGACTCATGAGGACTGCCATGTTAAATGGTTCAGAGAGGATATCTCTAATTGCCAGCTGCGCTATCGCTAACTCCTGGAGAGAACACAGTGAGTGCGGATGGGGATTGGTAAGAAGATTAGGGACATTGCACTGTTTGTGCTGCTAACCTCTGTTTACAAATGTAGTTCATAATCAAAAAAGCTAAGAAAATGTTTAATTTATTGTGGTAACTTTTTCGCACACTCTTTGCTATCTTCCTTCCCCCCACTCTCTCCGTCCTCTCCTTAATCTTTTGCAATTTATTACCTTCAATGGGTGTAATGAGACTGCTGTAATCTAATGTTCTATCTCAGTCTCCAAATCCAAATGATCACATAGCTGCTATCATTCCTCCTATAAACATCTGGCTATTTGAATTCAATGTAAAAAGATTTGTTTTTCTCAAAGATAATCTTGCAAGTAAAAAAACAAGAACTCTTCCTGTGTCTTAAACCAAGATGGTCGACATAAATAGCTGCTCCAGGTGTCCTTGCTCTACAAAATGCAATGATCAGGTGTCATTTTTCGTTTTTGTATTATCTTATGCTCCCTTAAAGCGCCTATATTGAAGATGGGTAGAAGGTGATACATTGTCCATATAGTTTTTTTTTTTGTTTGTTTGTTTTATAAGAGAGTGATGTTCAAGTAAAAAGTAGATTATTGGATTAGTTTTCTATATATCTCTATATACAAATATATTATGATTATTATTTTTGACTTACTTGTATTAGAACTATTATATGAAAATGCATATAGTATATCAAATAATAAACAGAAGTGTTTATCTAAATGTGCATGGTGTGTTTTATTTACCGCACGTTTGTTTAATCTCTTTCTATGATTTTGTTGCCTCAGGGTTGTTTTTTTTAATTGATGGACTTGATTTAAGCATAACTCTCTATGGAAAAATTAAACATTGACCTCTGTAAAAAACAAAACAAAAAAACAACAGTAATCAGACAGACTTTTGTAAGATGGAGAAAGAAAATGCCAGTTCACCCCCCCTAAGCCATTATCTATGGGTGTCCTCCATGTTTGGGCCCCAAAGTCAGACTTTACACTCATTTATATTATGAAAGATCTTTACCAGATAAAAACCTGTTGACAAGAATAAAACCATCTGCAGCTGGAAAGACTCTGACTAATGACAGAAATAGATATTTTATGATCTAACCCGCACCTTATCTAAAATATTCAAGAAAGATAGGAACACCTTTCGGTATAGATAATGTAGAAATTACAGAATTACAGGCAGACGACCTAAGAAATTGTCAAAATCATTGGGATTTTTACTGATAAAGTCAGAGGACAAAGATCTATGAAGTATTTTTTTATGCAACAGATGAGATATTCATGAGGGAGAGAGCAACACCTTTAGGAGATAACCAATTTGATCCTTTTGAGCTTTCAAACTCTAATAAGGAAAACGTTTCTGGTATTTTGGAAACCTGACAGTAAAGATAATCTACATTCTCTTGGTAATGTACAATACTGGCCATTCAAAATCTACCCACTTTCCTTGATGGTCCCTTGGCTAGTCCCCTACAATTCCTTATTCCTTATAAACATTAATCTTTGCACTAAAATATTCTTTCTGTCACAGTTTGTCGACATTAAGATCTAAAGAAAAGCGTCATCTCCTGGTCCGATCCTGTAGTTCAGTGAAAGGATCATAGTACATAAGTATGCAAGTCCAGGAAAAAGAGGGGGTCATTCCAGTGGTTGGAAGTTGGAGAGGTTTTTGCTGGGAGTTGCAGCGAAGTAGGCTGCCATTCGGCTGGTGTTTGACTGGTAAGGCCCATTTTGAATGGCTGCTACTGTAATGGGAGGTTACTTTTTTTTTTAAGTGCTAACTATATTAATTATGAAAGTCACTATTAGACTATGCTAAGTACAGATTGAAATTTGGATGCTAATATCTTAGTTTTAAAACAGAAAAGCTGCAGTAAATTTGAACAATTAAACATGTTCATGCATGACAAAGAAAAACAAATTTGAATGCTGTTTTTCTGGCATAATACAGTTTTTAAAGTAAAATCTGATTTAATTTAAGTCTACATCAAAGCTGTATATATTTACATGAAAAATGAATCTATACATTTTTGCATACCTCCATATTTTTGAACAGCCTGTACAATTTATCAGATTATTTCTCTGAGGGTAATTATAAAAACTGAAGGTTTCTGGCTCAGCCATCTGTACGAAAATCTCTTACTTGTTCTGCTCCATTGTGCCAAGCTCTGGACAAGCAAAAATACTTCAGGGAAGAAGAGGCAAGTAAAGGTACTGGACACTTTTATTTTTGTCCATTTTCTTTTGCAAGTGTGGTTGTTTTGTAAAGAGGATTTTTGAACACAAAAGGAATCCTGTGCCACAGGATTATTATGCTGCATCAAGATAGACTTAAAGTTATTGTTTAGAAAAAAGCATATGTGCAAGTGAAAATATACAAAAACCAAAAAACATTTATGCATAGTTTAAAATCCAGAGACATGAAATTTTATTTTTTGTCAGGTGGCTTCATTTTTTGTAATAAAATATGTATTTATATTTATGTATTCTTGTATGAGGATTTCCTTTTCGACTGTTCAGTTTTAATGTACTGTAATTACTGTATTGTAAAGAAAAATGTTTTCAATGATAATTAGGAAGACAACACAGGATTTTCTACATACAATTTTTTATGGAATTTAAATAACTGTAATAATTTAAAACCTCTGCTTTATTTGCCTAGAATAAAACAATATACAGTCTTCTGACTAATTCAAATGCTTTACCTTCTCATGGTCAAATGACAACATCAAAACCTCTAATATCCTCCTCACACACACAGATCCCCTTTAAACACAGGAAATTTTCAGAGAAACAAAAAACTAGAAGACAAGAACATATCATCCTGTCAGTTGGGAGACAATGGCTTCAACACTTCCTTTCTTCTTCTATATCCATTATATAACAATTAATTCAGAGCATTTTGCAGCATTAGTAAGGCTTTACAGCTAAATATTTGATGTTTTTGTCTTTTAAGAAGTTTGCTGCCCTTGGCGTAATATACAGCATTCTCAGACAATCTTTTACTCTGTAGACCTCAAATATATTGGTATTTTCAATATATTTTGTCATCGCCAAAACGATTCATGGTATAATTCTAGTACACAAATACCCTGAGTGTTCATCAACAAAAACACTAATGGCAGAGCTTATGTTTATGGAAAAAAAGTAAATAGCAACCCTCAGCGTAGTGTAATTTGGTGCCTCTGTGCAATTTAAACAGCTAATTAGTAGGGATGATGAAGTAAGCCCGTCTTATAACGGTGAAATGATGTAGAATCAGTGAGATGATCACATAATACCTTGAGTTGTGCAGGGAAGCATCCTGTCTGCTTGGGAACCATATCACATGGTAATGAAGATACATAGCCTCTAAATATGTGTATTTTTCTCAAACTGCGTATTATCCAGATTCTAGACTTAACAATGAGAATCCCAGAAAGTGGTGATTAACTTCAATGTAGAGCTGGTGAAACAGTTCCTGACACACTTTTAAAAGCATTAGATGGATCTCACTTATGGAAAATGAAAATAAAATCCCCCAAGCCCCTTTCTATTTTAGTTAACCATAACAGTGAATAAAACAAAAAAACACCCTATACATTTTTTTTTTTAATGTCCACTAAAAACCTACTTTTCTGATTCTGGTTGTGTTTTTTTTTTTTTTTGTAAAGATGTTAACCCTGTTTCATTCTGTGATGCTGTGTAAAAAGTTTGTTTTGCTGCCATAAATAGACCTCAGACATTTTTCAGAAGTATTACTTAAACTTCAACACTTTAAAAAGCAGTAGCTTTTTGTGTTTAATGTTTCCACATAGAAAAGTCCTTCAGTTTAACAGTCAGCTTTACATATTTATGTGCCCATCCCAATAAGAGGTGCCATAATAAGATGATTGTTCATTGTACCTCCATAGTACATCTGGTCTATTAACTATTTTTTTTTTCATGCTGGAACAGTCTCTAGCACTGTTGCAGAATCCTCAAACTGTTCCACCAAATCTAGTCGTTGCTCTTGGTAGCTGTTTACTTCTTAAGAGCGATTTTAACATCCCAGTGCTGAGAGTGTGCTTGAGAAAGCAAGACAATTAAACATACAGTAGTATACCAGTTTTGTTGTACATGTCCCACTGGCCCACTGCAAAGTCTGTAGGTGCTGTTGTGATAGGGATATCTCCTACTACATTAATGCTAAGGCTTATAGATGTAGCCTTAGTGGAATACAGGTGAACTATAACATGCATGTTAACTATCTGTTTTAAATCTTCAAAGAGCTCATGCTTGTTTGTTAAGTGTGCTAGAATTTTGAATTTTGTGGTGTTATTTTTCAGTTTGTATATACATAAAGGAAGCAAGATTGAAATGCTTGAAAGAAAACACAACATTCATACTCATTTAGAAGGCTTTTGCATTTTATCTGTGATAAAGCAGCAGGAGTATTAAGACACGCCTCTGCCTGTTTTTCCAGAAAGACAAAGTGTGAGTGGTGATATTGATTTGTGTACATCTGAGCATGCTGTGCTGCTTCATGATATAATGCTGCATCTTTATGTGTTTATGTGTGCGTGTGTGAAGGCGTGCAGCACCCTGAGTTGCTCTGCTGCAATGCAGCACATTTTGCCTACCGCTAGGTCGCTGCCGTCCTGCTCTGGGGCACTCTTCCAAGGTCACAGTGGGTCAATCCTGCCCATCTGCATACCCAGAAGCTACAAGGCTAAATATGCAAACACCAATTTTGTCAGCTGGTAAAGCAAAAAGATGCCAGAATGGGCCACAGTGGAACATAACCATGCTGCAGCTGCAAGATAACAGTAATCCGCTATCCAGCAGACATGACATTCAGTTGATCTACTGGGAAACCAGCTGATCAACACAAGATCAACCACAGTAGTTTCATCAGTGAAATACCATGATCCTTTTGAGTGGAGGTCATATTTTTTTTATTTAGTTGTCTCTGTGCTTCAGTGGATTCACATGTTTTGTGTTATTTAATCTCTTTGTATTCTGTTTTTCTCTTAGTTTACCCAATCCCAATATTCCCTGTGAACAATTACTCTTTGAATGATGTTTATTCTTTAAATCCCTCAGTCAATCCAGTTAAATTTTTGATGAGGCAGCTGACCTATCATGGTCATATAGGATATTACAGCAGTGACATCCTACTAGAACCTAAATTAAGCGAGTTTTAATTCAAAAATATATTCAAAAAATTGATTTAAAATGAGCAGCAAAAATGAGCAGCATTTTTGAACAGCAAAATCAGATCAAAATAATTGGAGGCTCATGTGTTAGTCATGCCTTTCTTTTCTGACCTGTCTGGCTTATGGCACCAAAAATGACTGCACAGACAGGTCTGTTGAAGGTTTGTTTTGTCACTGCCACTAACCAAAGAGATAGAACTGCACATTTAAATGATGGAGAAACTCACTCAAATTGCCTTTCTTCCAAATTCATTTCAAGTATTCTTAGCAGTAGGCTGAGGAATGGCTTCATGTTAAAGTCATAGGGAAACGGCTGTTCCAAACATTGCAGTTCTGAGTTCTCCAAAGTGGTGCACGCCTTTCCACATGTGAATAAAGTGAATTTGATTGTTCATTTATCAAGAGAGCGGGATTGTTGTGGCGGAAGGTTTGCAAGCAAGTTTGATTGTGGCCAGTTTCTCTGAAGCATTCTTGCTAAC